AATTCGAAGTCGAAGTGTTTTTTATTAAAATTCAATCATTTAGCAATATTATAAAAAGTCCAGGCAGAGCTGCACATAAAATATGGTTTCAAATCTTTTCAATAATTATCGATATCGATCAATATGCATTTTTTTTTATCGATAAGCTTTTTTTCTATATCGCCCAGCCCTATGATGGGAATTAATATGCTGGGTTATTTTGGTGAGGAGAAATTTCTTAATAAAAAGGGGCGTGTGCATCGGCGCGCGCGGCTTGACCGGGGAGGAAGTTGCGCACTGACACGTCTGTGCGGCTGGAGTTTTTGTCTGGTTGTCTGTTAAAAATAAGTCTAAAAATAAAGGAGCAAAGATAAAACACAGTAAAAGATTGTCCCAGCACCGCAGCTCAGCCAAGTAAGAAACTTATCAGAGTTTGCACCCAGAGGACGCCTCCCAGTGCAAGGAGACACCTTATTTTTAAATTTTGGGATTTTTGGTGGTACCACTCTTGTTTGTTGTTTGGATTTTTTGTTTTGGAACGGACTTTGGACATCCAGGATTTTTGCTTTTAGTTCGGTGGATATGGAACTCTTGTTTGGACATATTTATTAAAAATAAAAAGAACGGACAGTTTTGGACTTTCAGTTATTAGGGTTGTTTGTGTTTTTTTTTTTTTTTTTTTAGATATAAATTGAGATTTTCAGTTCACTTATAAATTGGTTGTGAAGGTTTTTGTGTTATCGATCTATTTATACTGAAAGATTATTGAATGAAACTTTGGATTCTTGGTGGTAGTGCGATTTTTTTTTTTTTTATTACTTTTTTTTATAAATCTTTGTTAATATAATCCTACTAAGTGGTTGGATTTTTTCTTTTTCTTTCGTCTCAGATTTATATTGTAACACTTATTGCCTGTTTTCCTGTGACAAAAACCCCCTTGAGTATTTGTGAGTTCTGCTTTTTATCGAGCTGAATTTTACAAGATAATAAAACCCTCCGTTTGTCTGGAACTGGTTTGGCTTTAGAAACACCACGCTGCAACATTTGCCCAAAGGCTGTTGCAGTTAAAGGCAGCAGCACCACAAACCAATTTCAGCAACACAGACGCATCAGGCAGAATATGAAACATGCCAGCCTGTCAGGGATGAACAATCTCCATCAAACCTCAGCTAGAAGCTCAGGCTGGAAGGTGAGGAAAATAAACATATAAAACATAGACCAGAAAGCTAGGGTAACTAGCAGGAATATTGCCTAGCCCTAATCCCTAAAACCTCCTATTTTGTTTAATAGAACCCACATGCATTGTTGTTCCTCTCTACAGGATACCATCAGGAAACTGATGTTGGATAAGATGATAGCAGCAAGACTTGAGCAAAATATGAAGTAGAAAATTAATATTAATGTTATTTAACCATCTGCCCCTCCTTTATGCTGTCTATTGGAGTTTCTTCAATTGGTTGGGGCAAATTTCTTTTCTTTGGAGCATCTTAATTTGGCTTTTGCAGTGAAAGCAAGTATCCTCCTCTTAAGTGATACGGTTGAGTTACTTTGCTCTTCTGAGATGGAGAACCCAGACAATAGTTCCCAGATGAGCAGAAACCTGCCTCTTTTTATGAGTCCAGAATGGAATACTGCATTTCCATGCAAGGGACTGAAGATGATCACCTCATTATCCAGGCCTTGCAGGACTGCTCCAGTACAAGGCTGTAACTTTGTGATAAAAGTTGGTAGGGACACTCTAAGGACAGTGGGTGATGGACCTACAGCTACTCAACCCAAACGCTTTCAATAGGTTATGTATTTTCCAAAAAATTAGCTCAAACATATATTTATTGAATGCCTTCCTATTGTTGAGAACACAAGAGAACCACAGTACACTGATAATTATAGACAGTGCATTATGTATAAAGGGCTCAAAAACAAGGTATAACAATGACAAATAACAGCCAATATCCGATACCAACATCAATTGTCATGCATCCCTATGAAGGTAGATTTGTTTCTTTATCATTCAATCAAAAAATATATTTTCAATTAAACAACCTTCACTTCAATGAAAAAAAAAAACTTTTCAATAAAAGTATTTGAATGAAAAAATATATTTGAGACTCAAAAAAATACATTTGAACATTGCTTTTCATTGATTGAAAATGTTTTATTTCATAGAAGTGCAGTCTTTTTTGTTTAAAGCAACTTTTTCAATTGAAGTGATTGGACCATATAATGGGTAGTACGGGTGTAAATAATAATCATTTGTATCGATCCAACAGCCGAGGATCCGATGCATAGATACGTCTGCAAGAGTATTGCACAGTTTTTTCTTTGAATTATTATTTCTTTTGATTGAAACACCTTTTTGGGAATTGAATGATTTAGACACAAATGTCCTACCTATGTATGGCCCAAACACTAAATAGATCCCTTAAACCAAAGAGAACATTTTCAACAATAAAAAAAAGTGTTCAAATGCATTTTCTGGAGTCTCAAATATTTTATTTGCATTCAAAAACTATTTGCTATGATTGAAAACGTTTATCTTGTTTGTTTTAAAGGAATAGTACA